CATACACCACAGGATAATTTATTTATTTTTGAATGGAGGAGCAATTAAATGATGTGACCTCTCTACTTCCAGACTTGCTTACCCTCTTAGTGTTTGCTCCCAGCAATTCCGACCACACTGCTAAGAGGTTCAACTTAAAGAAGACATTGATTTCAGAGGAATTCTTTATTTCTATATAGTTCCCCCATTTCTTGGGTCAACAGGGTCAACCAATTTATACCCATTAAAAAATACCTGCTGTTGCTGTTTCCTCTAGCCTAGTGCTATGTTTCTAGAAAAAGAGGTGCTGGAGCTCACCATGAACACCTCCCTTGTTCTCTTTTAATGGTAATGGCACCTACTTGAAAGGGGCTGGAACTGAGTTCTGGCAAGTTCTGGTTGAAAAAAAGCCCTGGCCTAGCCATTAAAAGTGCAGCAGGCAAATTATTACTCTAGTTATGAAAATATATTCATAGCTAGATACAGTGGTACCTCGGGTTACATACGCTTCAGGTTACAGACTTCACTAACCCAGAAATAGTACCTCGGGTTAAGAACTTTGCTTCAGGATGAGAACAGAAATTGTGCTCCGGCGGCGCAGCAGCAGCAGAAGGCCCCATTAGCTAAAGTGGTGCTTCAGGTTAAGAACAGTTTCAGGTTAAGAACAGACCTCCGGAACGAATTAAGTACTTAACCTGAGGTACTTGTGCTCATATATTCCCATTTTACGTTTTGGCTACATTAAAGGAACAGTGGCCATTATTTCACCTTTGGGCTACATCAGCCAAAACCAGGATTTTACTTCTGGCTGCTAAAGGAACAGCAACAACAACAAAAAAAACAAGGTACAAAAACTGTCCCTATCTTTTTAAAACCCAGTTTTTCCTCATGTGGCGGTTGTCTGCTGCCCTCTAACGTTGAAATGGTGCCATTCTTGACTACGGGACAAGAAATGCACTCCTACAGAGGAATGTCGAAAGAAATGGTTAAAAGTGGGGAAACACTCCATTTCCTTTGCACTTAGATAGCAACCAGAATGCACAAGGATTGCTGAAGTGTTGTCGGGAGGGCCAAAAGCAAGCTGTAAAAATGTGAGAAACAAAAGGGAGGAGGGGGAAAGCTGGCAGGCAAGGACATTAGGGCCTGCTTCAGTTCAGCATGTTTGTGCTTCTGTTGTGTTTTCTAAGTGTTGTTAGCCACTTGGAGCACTTCAGCTGAAAAGCCTGGATATAATTAAATTAAACAATGAACAGAGTGTAGGGAGAATTGAGTATATTGCCCTTTAACTCGTCTCTTTTCCTAGTCATCACCTGCCCTGTTTACTAAATGCCTCACAGCTGCTACTGCCTTCCCTACTTAAAGCTGGGCCCTGAACCTTCAGGTTGTATGTAATAATGTGGGGAGTTTGGTTGCCATGGAGACAGAGGGACAGGAAAGGTGTCTCAGAGCCCACCTGGCTCAGTGTGGATGCAGAGCTGGTAGGAGGCAGATGCTGCCGATTTGTCTCCTGCTGTGGGTGGCAAACAACCCACTTCTGAATTAACTGTGGTGGATGTTGACAGAACAAACCAGTGACCACAGGAAAAAGTACTGAGAGAAGGAAAAGGGACTATGGCCATTTAAAACCAACTAGCCCAAAAAGGTGTGGCAAGGGCCTAGGAGGTAAGCTTTGGGAGGTAAAGAGGGCTGTGAATTTGAACGTTTGGAATTCCAGACAGACAAAATTCAAAACTTTGGGGGGTTTTTTTAAATGCTTTTAGCTTAAGGAGGGAAAGCTATATAAGTTTGTCAGAAACAAGAGCTACTTCTTCCCTCATGGCAGAAAGAAGCAACCAATTCCCTCATGTTTGCTCTTCGCTGGTTGGCCGATACGCAGATTATTTGGATCTGACACAGATTTACAAACTAGGCCATCAATTGAGATACAAAATGTTGATGCTGTTGCTTCGCCATTGTTTCAGGTTTTATAGCTAATCGTAACAAGAGTCCTATGTCAATACATGTAACTAATGACTGTGAAACGAATACAGATAACTTTCAACTTCTGTTTCTTTTAGTTATGCGACTGCAGCTTTGCATGTGTGATGGTGGGAAATAAATAAATGAAGAGTGGAGAAACCCACTCTCCATTTATTTATCTCTCTTCTCCCCCAACATTTTGCAAAGCTGCAATCAGAAGCATACCTAGTTTTGGAAATGTGGCACAATGGCCTTGGGACCCTCTCAAGAGCCCTCATGCCTCCTTCCCTCCATCTTGCAGGGGTTGGGGAGCAGTCTTGGGGCTTCCTGGCTTTACATAATTTTGCTTATACACACGAATAACCCCCACAAAAGATGTGAATTACCTGTATATCTATGTGCCTATTTTGGGTTGTGTATTACTAAGAGCCATTGAAATGAAAGAACCTTAGTTATGTCCGTTAACTTCAATGGGTAGAGAAATTTGATTCTGTTGTGGGGTGTTCTAAAATTTATACACCACTTGGATCATAAACAAACAAACAAACCCCAAAGTGCATCTGTGGAGTTTTGCTACATGCCTCAAGCCTTCCAGAGGGGAAATAAGTATAGTTCTTTCTGTTTTTCCCTTTCTTCCTTGTTTATAAGTCGGGTTTTAGCTAGACAGAGTTTACAGTGATCAAGTACAAAATAGAAGTGTAGTATTAGCAAAAGTATGCAAATGAATGTGTAAGTTTATCTTACTATACAATGTCTTTGTAAGGGGAAAAAATGGTCATTCATGGCTGCCACTAACAGGTAGGCAGCCGTGTTAGTCTGCCATAGTTGAAACAAAATAAAATAAAAATTCCTTCTAGTAGCACCTTAAAGGTAAAGGTACCCCTGCCCGTACGGGCCAGTCTTGACAGACTCTAGGGTTGTGCGCCCATCTCACTTAAGAGGCCGGGGACCAGCGCTGTCCGCAGACACTTTCCAGGTCACGTGGCCAGCGTGACAAAGCTGCATCTGGCGAGCCAGAGCCGCACACGGAAACGCCGTTTACCTTCCCGCTAGTAAGCGGTCCCTATTTCTCTACTTGCACCCGGAGGTGCTTTCGAACTGCTAGGTTGGCAGGCGCTGGGACCAAGCAACGGGAGCGCACCCCGCCGCGGGGATTCGAACCGCCGACCTTTCGATCGGCAAGCCCTAGGCGCTGAGGCTTTTACCCACAGCGCTACCCGCGTCCCTTCCAAGCACCTTAGAGACCAGCTAAGTTTGTTATTGGTATGAGCTTTCATGTGCATGCACACTTTTTCTGAAGCCAATCTGAAGAAGTGTGCATGCACATGAAAGCTCATACCAATAACAAACTTAGTTGGTCTCTAAGGTGCTACTGGAAGGAATTTTTAAAATTTTTGTTTTGGCTGTGGGTTAAATCACAGAGCCTAGGACTTGCCGATCAGAAGGTCGGCGGTTCGAATCCCTGCAACGGGGTGAGCATGCACACACAACAGAGTAAGGCAAGGCAAGTAACTGGGTGGGTCAGATTTCTGGGCAAAATGTAGCAGAGAGTTGTGGTAGTGGAGTCAATGAGATGTGGGGTTGGCAGAGTTAGCAAGCAACGTGAGGAGTCGAAGCCTGTAGTAATAAATATATTTATTTAAGCAAGTGGAGGGTTCTAGATTTGTTTTGAAGTTTGCAAAGACACGGAAGACATCAAATCAACACAACTCCCGGAGCTTACTTACAATACTCGACAACTCATTTTGATATTACGGTTTTGCGCAACGCATATATACACAAACTGGAAAGAGAAATTTGCTCTACAACACGGAATAAATTTAGCCTCTGCTACCAAAAGCACACAGTGCTTAATATGATCTATTCTTAGGAAGATTAAACGACACTGATGCAAAGATCATAAGTGATTTACAAACCATTCTTCAAAGAAATGAATCAATATGAAATCTGTTCAGTATTACAAAGCCAGAGGCTTAACATTTTCACCAAAAATGCAAGTTGAAAATGTTTAAGTACATTTTGAGGGGAATAGGGTACTGCAGCGATTACTTTGAGATAGTTGCATTTACTCTTTCTAAAAAAGAATACGGCTTAGGCTCTGCATATGTTGCGACTCCATATGAGTGCAAGGAGTGCAAAAAGGGGCATTGATTGCATAATTCAGCAGTATGAGAATCTCAGTTTTTTCAAAGTAATAATAATAAAGAGTAGGTTACTAATCCTTATGGCTGTGAATGTATGTTTGAAAGTTTGCAGGTGAGATTTCGGCAGTCACCGGGGCAGTTTAATAAGATTTCCATTGGCTAGCGATATGGCAGCAGTGCCTTGCGCAACTCTTTGGCTTTCTAAATGGCAGGCAAAACCAGAAAAAAGCATGCAGCACAGTGCAAATCACAGAACTATGCAAATTTACTTAGGTGGCAGGCTTTTCCTTTTCTTGGCACAGAATGTGGAACGTATACACAGCTCTGATGACGGCCGAATGCAATGCTCTGAATTCTACCAGAGGATATTCTAAGGCATCCTATTCAAAACTAATACAACATAACCAGCCTGGCAGTAATGACCTATCAAATCCCATGGCATTCTGGGTCAGTTATAGGCGGTGGAGGTGATGTGCTTGAGCAGAGTTAACACAAATAGCTCTTCCCAGCATCTTTATTGTCAGATGGCAACCCAACATCTGTCTGCCATATTTTTGTGAGCCAATGTAATTGTTGCCTGTGGACTATTTTGCACAGAATGAACTGTGTAAATGTGGAAAATACATGTGCAAACAACTTTGGTTGCTAAGGAGACAAGATTCAAAGTATAGTCAATGGTAACCGCCCCCCCTTTATTTTTTTACAATGGGATGTATAACAAGGTCCTTTAACTGCAAAGCAAGTAAGTGGCTTTAAAGAATACTGTGATGTTTCTGAAGGACTTTATATACTATTACTTTCGGCAATCCCAATGCAGGGCCTTATTTCTGTTAAGTAAGCAGAACTGGCCTGTAAAACAAGAAAATCCTTAATAAAATATTAAACAAAAAAAAAAAAAAAAAGTAAGCAGAACTGGCCACACTGGAGACTGTATAGTTATCAATCGATACTGACTGATATAAGTAAAACTGAGCTGTCCATAGATCACAGCCTCACAGCACCCATTTACATTACCAACTTAATACCGGCTTTATACCAATGCCACTATATGATTTCCCTGCAAATTTTAAGTGGGTGATATTGTTGAAAATTATGTGTTAATTCCCACTTCCCTCACAGAGCTAGTTCCCTGGGGAAAAGGAATGGCTATTAGTTTACAAGTCTGTGTGATACACCCAATGTGATCTGATCTTAAAAAGCACACAAAACCAATATTGTGTGAACTGACCCTCACATCCAATTTGTGGCATTACCAAAGATGTTTATCAGTAGGCATATGCTGCAGGTGGGACATTGAGAATGGAATATATGGGCTTAAAACATGTTACCCTCACAACTTGTGAGGCAGCTTAAGCTGAGAAATGGCCTGGATCATAGTTTTAAGCCTGGCATTAGAGTCACTCTTAAAAAAAAGTTTGGATATTTTATGGTTCTTCAACAGGGGGATCCGATGGCAGGCAGTTCTGACAGCATCCTCAGAAATTAGATTTACATCCTGATAATAGGGATGTGATAGTGACGGTCATCTTCAGTCAGAAGAAAGACTTCTGGCCAGTCCCTCTGATACACGTCTGTGTAGCTTTCTTGGGAAACGGCTGAATTAAACTTGCACAACCTGTAAACGGTTATCTTGACTTCAAGAGAATATCCAAGGAGAAATAGTTCAACCTGTTAAGCAGAAAAGAATGAGAATAACACACTAGCAAACCATAATAAATTGAGTTTGTCGAGTGTGAACGTGACATTGATTTGGAATCATGTCAGCAATTAAAAGATGTAACTCAGACATTTAAAGGCTGTGAAGAAAAATACCATATAAAAACAAGTGGGAACCCATGAATAGAAGTTTCATGATGAGTGATCCCAAGCCTATTTTTTTTGTTCTATTTGTGACATGTAGGGTGGCATTCTATATCTGGAATATCTACTAAAACTCATGAAACTGACTGATACACCTCTGGAAATTTAAATCTGATGTGAGAAAAAACGTGTATGTGAATAAGCATTGTGAGAAGGTTTGGTGAGATTCCATTAGGGTTGTAAATGGCTGTTTTATTGAAGTAGCTCTAACTGTCTCTGGACTTCATTTAAAAATGCTGCTATATTCTTTTATTTCCTTGCAAGGGGTGATTTAAACTGTTAATTTATGGTTTTCTAACTCTCTTGTTAGCTTCTGTAAGCTTTCCTGCGGAAAAGATGGAGATATATGTTTCAAATAACTAGCAAGAGTAGAATTCAATTTCTTAAGAAAGAAAATGAGCTCCTTCATTTTAGAAAACAGTTACTAATCCAGGTGCCAAATAAGATAGGCTTGAAAGTGCATGGGGGATGTCTTGTGAAATCTCAGATAAAATAAATATGGCCAAATAAGGTTTCCACTGCTCAGGAGATGAAGCTTCAGGGCCCATATATTTATTGTCCCTTCCTTGTGACTAGTAGAGATAGAGGAAGCAGAAGCACAATTCAGATTGCCTCTTGAAGAAAAAAATCTGGTTTTTTTTACTGCACACAGCTTACCCTATCATTTGTTTTCTTGATGTATACAAAGATGCATTAACCTCATGAACCCATCCAAGTACTGCCATATTTGAAGCTTTTCTTGAATGCTACAGAATCGTTGGATTTAGTTTTTCCAGCTCATATTTACCTGATCGAGGCCTCTTCTCTCCCCTATGGCGTTCAGATGATTCATCATGTAGCTCAAAGGGTCCAAGGAGGTATCGCGTACAAAAAGCTGGTTAAAAAAACTTGGGAGGCACTCTTGCTTGTTGTTCAAGCATTCGTAGGCTTCTATTACTTGGTAGAGCATGATGAATTTTATGGCCTCGTACAGTTTGTGCTCCAAACTTTTGTCAGCAAAAAGGGCGTTGCACAAGTTCCCTCTTTCATATGGGTCTTTAATACTACTGACTTCCATCCACTGTAATGCACAGAACAACAAAAAGCAGAAGAGGTGGGGGCAAAAAGTTAGCTTGAGGAATAAACCAGTTAAATAGCAAGTAGCAGTTTTATTTTTAGCTGAAGTATTTAATATTGTATATACTAACAGCAAACTCAAATTCTCTGAATTCTGGTCCAAAATGGCACCAAGAGTAGGAGTAAGACACCAGCAAGCTGTGTGAAGCCCAAGGACAGCAGAATACCAAAACAAGTACATACAGTGGTACCTCGGGTTAAGTACTTAATTCGTTCCAGAGGTCCGTACTTAACCTGAAACTGTTCTTAACCTGAAGCACCACTTTAGCTAATGGGGCCTCCTGCTGTCACCGGAGCACGATTTCTGTTCTCATCCTGAAGCAAAGTTCTTAACCTGAAGCACTATTTCTGGGTTAATGGAGTCTGTAACTGAAGTGTATGTAACCTGAGGTACCACTGTACTATTAAGGTGGCAAAAAAAGTAAATAAATCCCAAAATGGCCCAGTGAGGACTGAGCATGCTCAGTGGTCATGGGATGCCAACTAGCTGTGGAAGTAAAGAAAAGAAAATTGTGGGGAGAAGGAATGAAATGAAATACTGTGGAAGAGATGTGCAGGAACACTGTAAATATTTTGTACCTTGCAAGATTTTGTTACAGGTCCCACTTGCACACAGATAATGGTGATTCACAGGTGTAAAAGGTAGCTTGAAACACCTGTGGTTCAGCCACTCAGCTCTCAGCCATTCACTGCTCTGAGCAGTTGTCCTTAAAGGTGGGTTATCAAGCTTTAAAAACAAACGGTACCCTTTGAGACAAGCCTTTATTTGATGCACTTAATCTCCCGCTTTTTAAAACCACATCAGTTCAATGAAATTTGTACATCACTGAAAACTCAATGCGGTGCCTTTTTGAGATACTCTGGTTCTGTAAAAAAGGTGTGAACGTTTTCTTCAGTAACTGTGAAGTAATAAGAATAACTCCACTCCCCATCCCATCAAAAAGTGTATTTTAATTCTATTTTGCAGGCCTGTAATATTAAATGTGAGGGACGCGGGTGGCGCTGTGGATTAAACCACAGAACCTAGGACTTGCCGATCAGAAGGTCAGCGGTTCGAATCCCCGTGATGGGGTGAGCTCCCGTTGCTCGGTCCCTGCTCCTGCCCACCTAGCAGTTCGAAAGCACATCAAAGTGCAAGTAGATAAATAGGTACCGCTCCGGCGGGAAGGTAAACGGCGTTTCTGTGCACTGCTCTGGTTCGCCAGAAGCGGCTTAGTCATGCTGGCCACATGACCCGGAAGCTGTACGCCGGCTCCCTCGGCCAATAAAGCGAGATGAGCGCCGCAACCCCAGAGTTGGCCATGACTGGACCTAATGGTCAGGGGTCCCTTTACCTTTAATATTAAATGTCTCCTTCCCATTTCGTCAGTGGTAGGACATCTGCTTTGTATGATGATCCCAGGTTCAATCCCAATCGCCTCCAGTTCGCGCTTAGAGAAAACCCTATTTGATATCCTGGATAGCTGCTGCCAGTCAGTGTAAACAATATTGGGTGGGTTTCATAGACCAATGGATTGATATGGCAGCTTGCTATGTAAGGTTGTGGCCCTAATATTTCATCCATAGCACAGTGATAGTTTATCTTGACAATGGGCAATCCATCCATCCTGCTGATACCTTCCCACTCACCTGACTTCTCAACATTTCAATACATCTACGCAATTTTCCCAATGTATTGGAGCCCGTGTACTGTTCTGATCCAAAACTATATTGCTGGATCCAGTTGCAGCCTTGCGAATAAAGAAGTTTCTCTGGGAGCTGAAATAGAAGAGAACATAACCAGTGGAGGAGTTCAGTGGGAATTTTAGGATTTCGGTCTGAATGAAAGCATGGTGCATTGGGTACAGTGTCAGATTGGGACCTGGGAGACCCCGGGTTGAAATCCCAATTCGGCATTAATGCTCACTAGTTGATTTCAGCCTGACCTACCTCACAGGGTTGTTGTGAGGATAAAACGGAAAGGGGAAGAACTATGTATACTACATTAATAATAATAATAATAATAATAATAATAATAAATGTACACACACACACACACAGTGGTACCTCGGGTTACATACACTTCAGGTTACATATGCTTCAGGTTACAGACTCCGCTAACCCAGAAATAATACCTCGGGTTAAGAACTTTGCTTCAGGATGAGAACAGAAATCGTGCGGCGGCGGCGCGGCAGCAGCAGGAGGCCCCATTAGCTAAAGTGGTGCTTCAGGTTAAGAACAGTTTCAGGTTAAGAACGGACCTCCGGAACAAATTAAGTACTTAACCCGAGGTACCACTCTGTGTGTGTCCATCTGACTGGGTTTCCCCAGCTACTATGGGCAGCTCTCAACAGAATATTTATAAACACAATAAAACATCATAAATTAAAAACTTCCCTTAACAGGGCTGCCTTCAAATGTCTTCTAAAAGTCAGATAGTTGCTTATTTCCTGGACATTTGATGGGATGGCGTTCCACAGGGCGGGTGCCACTACCGAGTTCCCTGTAACCTCACTTCTCACAGTGAGGGAACCGCTAGAAGGCCCTCGGAGTTAGACCTTAGCATCCAGGCTGAATGATGGGGGTTGAGATGCTGCTTCAGGTATACTTGAGCTGAGGCCGTTTAGGGCTTTAAAGGTCAGCACCAACACTTTGAATTGTGCTTGGAAATCTACTAATATACTAGATAATCATTCACTTTGCATATAATCATTTGTTTCAGGACGTACCTTTAGGACATCTGTTGCCTTTGTCCACGATGGAAGAGGAATACCTTGGCTGAAAATCTGGAACAACACAGCTCTCAGCACACAGTAGTTATCTCCCCTGACCTGCCGTACATATTTCACATGGTGTCTCCAAAATAACTCTTCATAAGCCTTAAAAGAAAAAGAGAGAAAATACCAAATTAACAAGGAATGGTATTTCTTGAATTTTGGATGTGGACAAATGATTGGCTGGAGCAGCTGATGGAGGACCATTCTAAAGGAGAACACCACAAGGAGCTCTACCATGAGGTAAGGTCAGGGGCTAAATTTTGGGTATCAGCAAGAGCAGCAGAATGGGTGGCAGTCAGAGCTGACCACTGGAACGCAACCCATGGGGAGAAAGTCCTCCAATTCAATTCTCAATTAAGCAAATGGAAGCTGTGCAGCAGCACAGTTGTTGTCTCACAAAAGACCACTACATTTTCGGTGAATCTTGTGAAGGAGAGCTTCCCAATGGATTGTGCACCATGTTAATTAGTAGGGGGGGGAATTAAAATTTTGTTATTAACTGAATTGATTTATTGAATCTTCCTCTAGTATGTGCAGAATTTAAGCTTTGTGGTAGTATATGTTTGTTTTTGGCAAGGAGGAGGCAGGTATGATGGTGGCAGAAGAGGTGGGGGCACAGAATTTTCTGCTTTTCAAAACTGAAAGCCAGCGGATATGTATGTATCAAATATGCGCATCATCACATCAAGAAGCTCATGCCAGCAGCTGGAAATATGGGCGAGTGGGAGTTACTAGATAATAAAATATTTTAGCTCTGTGTCTGTTTTGTGATAAAGCACACCTTATTAAATTTTCTAATACAGTGGTACCTCGGGTTACATACGCTTCAGGTTACACACTCCGCTAACCCAGAAATAGTGCTTCAGGTTAAGAACTTTGCTTCAGGATAAGAACAGAAATCATGCTCCGGCGGCGCGGTGGCAGCAGGAGGCCCCATTAGCTAAAGTGGTGCTTCAGGTTAAGAACAGTTTCAGGTTAAGTACGCACCTCCGGAACGAATTAAGTACTTAACCCGAGGCACCACTGTACCTGAATGGCCAAGATTCCAGACACTGAGAATATTTCATTTTCCTTCTCCTGTGTTCTGTCTCCTTCACTGCAATGCGATATATGGGAACTAACCATTAGGCAGCCATTGCAGTATATTACCCCAAGGACTGCCTCCCCACGTATGAACTGATCCAGACCCAGCGATTAGAATCTGAGGCCCTTCTTTGTGTGCCTCCTCCATGAGAAGTCTGTAGGGTGGCAACATGAGACTGGGCCTTTTCTGTGGTGGCTCCCCTCTTGTGGAATGTGCTCCCCAGGGAGGCTCATCTGGCGTTACATATCTTAAGGCACCAGGTGAAAACGTTTCCTCTTCCCCCAGAGCTTTGGCTAATTAAACAACCTGTGGCCTTTTAAACTGGGGGGTATTGCTTCATTTCTTATTAAGTTACATATATTTGTGTCTTTACACTGTAAATTGCCTTGTGATCCTCAAATGAAAGGCCAGTATATACGGAAAACTTAATAAATAGACGATAATTTCCTCCCGGCTTTGAAAATGGCACAGGGGTTGGTCATGCTGAAATTTTAATTTGCAACAGGGAATTGTGTTCTGTATGCAGGTGCCCAAACTCATCTTGGTATCTCGGGCATTCAGCAGAGATTCTGTGTTAAAAATATAGAAAACCGAAGGCCAAGCAAGCAAGCAAGCTGATCTTTGCTCGGTCATCCATGCAGTGTGTCCATTTCCATATTAGTAGCTCACCCCTCTCATTTTTAGTCTTACCTTTCTCATGTGTTTGGCCCGCTCTGTTTCTTCTTTCCATTCTTTTGCACAGTAGCCAAGCAAATCAGCTTCAGCCGAAACACCTTGGTTATCTAAGTATAAGTGCAGGTATCAGTTAATAAAATGTATCTGTTTAAGATTATATGATTTCCCCCCCAAAAAACAACATTAACACAGTACTGCATATATTACTTGTGAATTTTCTCTGCAGGTATCTGCTCCACCTGAAAGCCAAACAGCAAGAACAGTAGTCAGAAAGTCTGCATCAAGTAAGCACTGTTTAATAATAATAATAATAATAATAATAATTTATACTGTTGGAAGCTGGTGAGCAGGAGGTTTGTGAATGACCGAAGGAAGCACTTCATTGTGTAACACAAAAACAAATATAGTTCGCTACCACAAGATATGGTAAATGGCCACTAGCTTAGATGGCCCTTCAGAAAGGATTAGGAAAAATGAAAGCACTATAAAGAAGTATTTGCCCTGATGGCAAAATGGAGTCTCCATGTGGAATTTCCTGCTACTGCTATTCAGGCTGCCCAATGCTCTCTATTTCAAATGTCCCGGCTGTGAGGACCATTGTTTATGTATCCAAAATGGCAGCACCGGCTCACTAGAGGTTGGGGTAGGGGGAATTTTGATATTTGCAGAAGTACTGTACTTTTCCATGTATAAGACTAGGTTTTTTTCTTTAAAAATTACGCTAAAAGGTGGAGGTCATCTTATACATGGGTAGTGCATAGGGTGGACGTTTGATTGGTTGCTGCTGTGGCTGTCAGTGGCTATTGGGCGTGTTATTGGTTGATGGCTAGTGTTGATTTGTTGACACTGTGGCAATTGGGTGGGCAATTGACAGCTTCTTCCAGCGAGGGGACAGACGGGAGGCAGATTTTGCGCCGCATGTGGGTGAGTGATTTTCGGCAATTCCCCCTAAAAAAATTTCAACAACCCTGGGTAATCCCCCCCCAAAAAAAACTCAACAACTCTGTGCCATCTCCCCCCTTCTTAAATTTTAGTCCCCCGAAACAGGGGGCGTCTTATACATGGGGGCATCTAATACACGGAAAACGGTATTTAAAAAATGGAGGGAATGCTGAGAGGGAAATCAAATGGAGCAGAGTAGCTGGACTGCTGAACAGCATCAATCCACACTACAATGTTGGTCCGTCTTGTACCTCTGAATACCAAACCTTGGAAGCTGGCAGAGATACCTGGTTCCCTGCTCTTAGACTAGAAGGACTCATGATCTGTTTTAGCAAGGCTGTTACTTGGTTCCAATGCTGGGCTGGGAAAACCTACTTATGCAGCCCTCCGCGTCATCTGAATCTCTGGACACTGCACACCCAACTTCTAGCTTTCCAGACTGCTCCAATTGGTAATTGTCTCCTCTTTCTGTGTGTGTTTGTATGTGCATGTAGGGGGCAGCTGCATTGCATGGGGTTGTCTAGATCAGGGATGTGCAGCTTCCAAGAGACTGCGATCTACTCCCACTAAAAAAACAACAGGCAGCGATCTACCCATTGTATTGACCAAAGTTGTTGAGCTTATTTTGGGGGGAAGGAGCTGGGTTGTGTTGTTTTTTTGCAGGGGTGTGTGTGCAATCAATAAGGATCATGCGATTGACCACAATCGACCAGGGACGCCCCGCGATCGACCGATAAATCACGATCAACCTGTTGGACATCCCTGGTCTAAATAATACTCGGGTCTCTTCCCACTCTACAATTCCATGGTTCTATGCATGTGCACACATGAGAGAAAAGGGATGGGGTGGGATGACACAGAGGAAAACAATGCAATCCTGCAAACTCTGCCCACCATAATATCTGGCTGCACTGACCATTGATTGTGCTTTCCCTCCCACCCATTGACTTTAACCATGGGCCAGTGGCAGTTCAGAGGAAGAATTACTCCATCAAACCTACCATTTTAGCAAATGAGCAATATATGTATAGAGTTGCCTGCAACACCACAGAGCAGTGGCAAGAAGAGTCATGGTTAATGCAGACTGTCCCTTTACAGGTTGCAACATGTAGGGGTGATTGACAGCTCTGATCCAAGAGGGTACATCATTCTATCCTAAAACAGAAAAAAAGAATTATTAACCTTCATTGTTTTTATTATTGACAAAGTAATTCTTCTAAATGTAAGGTTTATTAATTTCTCAGCACTACAGTGGTACCTTGTTTTGAGTCCGGGATCTGTTCCAGAGCCCCGGATGCTCGACAAAGCGTTGCTCTGCGCACACATGTAGCACTTCTGCGCATGCGCGAGCAGCAAACCCGGAAGTAACCCATTCCGGTACTTCCAGGTTTGCCACGGACGTTCGCCGAAATGGACGGTCCATGGGGCAGACATTCGTGGAGGTACTGTATTATCAATGCAACAACACAACCATTTCAGAGTCCCCTACCATACAACAGCATACCCTCACTTCTTCCTAGAAAGCACAGAGCAATGAACCCCCCTGCCCTGCCGCACCATATTAATGACACATTCGTAACTAACGAAACATCAGGCAGTCAGGAAAACAGAAGCAGTATTTACAGATCAGGGACCCTGTTCAGATTTTCCCAGTCCCCCCCTTTTTTAAAAAAAGAAAAATGGTGCAAAGAAAATCTTTTGTTTTAATGTTGGCAGTTCATGGCATTTTGTAAACAAAAAGTGGAAAAAAGAAGCCTGTACAGTGGTACCTCGGGTTAAGTACTTAATTCGTTCCGGAGGTCCGTACTTAACCTGAAACTGTTCTTAACGTGAAGCACCACTTTAGCTAATGGGGCCTCCTGCTGTAGCCATGCCGCCGGAGCATGATTTCTGTTCTCATCCTGAAGCAAAGTTCTTAAACTGAGGTACTATTTCTGGGTTAGCGGAGTTTGTAACCTGAAGCGTACGTTACCTGAAGCATATGTAACCCAAGGTACCACTGTACTTGCAACTGAGAAGTCATGAAACTGAAATAAGTCAACCAGCCAAAGACTGACCACAAGGTTGAGAAACGGCTCTCTTGGAAGGTGGTGGACTCTCCTTCCTTGAAGGTTTTAAAGCAGTGGTTGGATGGTCATCTGTTACGGATGCTTTAACGGAGATTCCTGTATTTGCAGGGGGTTGCACTTAGATGACCTTTGGGTTTCCCTCCAATCCTACAGTTCTGATTCTATAAACCATTCTGCGATGAAGGTAGCAAGCCTAGTGTCAGCCTCATTTTCGAAAAGGACTTCCTTAGCTCTGTTTTTCTCAGATCTCACATTTTAGGTCTCCCCATGACCACCATCAGGCATTTTAGCTGAAAGGTCAAATTGGAGACAGTTGCTAGTGTGGAATGTTTAAAGGCTGCGAGAAGCTCGTTTGGTCGCTTGCCCTGCCTCCCATCACTTCCAGGTAACTCAAAATCAGAAAGGAAGCTCATCATCTCTAAACATTTCATTCTAGCCCCTTTGCCCTTCCATTTCCTGAGAAATGACCTCCGGCTTTAAGACAGGCACCCTAAAAAAAATTGAGGGATTACTTTAAATAACCATGTTTTCCCTCAATAAGTTTACTTCGCTGCTGGCATCAGTGCAGAAGGTCAGTTTGTACCTGATAGAAGAAGAAATACCTACATTTACCTCTGTACTGCTGGATGCAAATGCCTGTCTTGATTGCTAATGTTCCAAAAAGCATTGATAGCTGTCTGCTTATAAAACAGTTGTTTAAATATAGGGCAACAAAAGCACGCCTTGCCAAAAGAAGCCTTACAGTTTCTTTATGCAAAGTTTTGCCATTGCTTCATCCAGCTCATTACACGGATGGACCGCAGCTCTCTAGGGTTTCAGACATTTGAATGCAAGGCATGCGCTCTTCCAAAGAGATACGGCATTTCCCTCGCCTCATTAACTTGGCAAAGGCAGAAGTAAATCATTCAAATCAGGGCGTCTTTATTGATGCAGTCCTGGTGCATTAATGGTGGACTCATACTGGACTGTCCACACATCCATTCTGCTCTATTAGTTGTCCTGTGATGCTTCCCCAATGTTACCACTTGATTTCTGTCTGGATGGGGGTGCTCTTTCACTGTAGCCCAGTGAAAGCAGGACAAAACCCAAGCAAAACACCAGAACGTTTGTCGTATGAAAAGTCCCCAGGGTTTCAGTAGGGCATGCACCGATTGGAAATGAAGTAGTATGCCCATCCCGAAATTTTTGAAGGCTCAAATAGCAGGATCATGTATAATGACTCCAACATCATCACAAACATAAATCACTATGTGTGTAGAATAGAAAGGATGTCTGGGGAGTCCCTAAATTTCAAACTGTGTGTAACGTGCAAAGGTAAAGGGACCCCTGACCATTAGGTCCAGTTGTGGCTGACTCTGGGATTGCGGTGCTCATCTTGCTTTATTGGCTGAGGGAGCCGGCATACAGCTTCTGGGTCATGTGGTGAACCAGAGCAGCGCACGGAAATGCCGTTTACCTTCCTGCCAGAGCAGTACCTATTTATCTACTTGCACTTTGACATGCTTTCGAACTGCTAGGTGGGCAGGAGCAGGGACCGAATCGCGGGGATTCAAACCGCTGACCTTCTGATTGGCAAGTCCTAGGCTCTGTGGTTTAACCCACAGCACCACCCGCGTCCCTTATGTGTAACGTGTAGAGGTTGATAAATCAGGTTAAAAATATACGCATTGCCTTTCAGACTTTCAGAAGAGGCCTTATCTTCGAGCTGTGGTGGGGAGCGGGGGTGCCAACTTGAAAAAAATATTGGTACATAATTGATCACAAGACATGGTGTGCGCACACGGCCATTTGAATGTGACATGCCCCATCAACCTGGAAGGGGGGGGTGTCACAGCCTCCTCAAATACTTTTTATTGGGGAGGGGTGAAAAGCCATGGCCCTCTAGGAGTGGTTCCTATGGGGGGGGACCTGTGGCCCTCCATATGCCTGCTGGACTCCAAACTCCTATCACCCCCAAACTAACACATGTCAATAGCAAGTATTATGGGAGCTGTTGTCCAATCACAATGGGAAGTGCCGACAAGGTTCCCTTTCTCTGTCTCTTGAGGAATGCACAGACTGAGGTGCTTTAGGATACACCTGTCAGAAAGGGAGCGGTCTAGAAAGCCTGGACCTTTTTGGAGCATTGCTGAACCCAACTACTTCTTTTATATTAAGGAGAGAGAAAGAAGATTTGCAGATATACTCCGCCTTTCACATAAACCAAGCGGCTAAATCTCCTTTCCCTTTCCCCACAAAACGCTATCTTTGGTGACTGGGCTGAGAGACATTCAGAGAAGTGTGACTGCCCAAGGTCACCCAGCGTCACTTGTGGAGACTGAGATCTTTAAGGACCTTCCCAAATACGTGCTACCACCTAAAGTCTGTTAAAAATCCACTTGCAGAGCTGTTTAATATTTGGGGTTCGGTATCTCCACACTTCTTGCCCTTGAGGCTGATTTTCTGCTCCAGCACTCAAACTTGCGATATTCTGTAGCTTTTCTTCAATTGCATGGGCTGATCCTGTGTGGAATGTCCCTGTGCCAGAAGCGTCTACAATGGTACCTCGGGTTAAGAACTTAATTCGTTCTTGAGGTCTGTTCTTAGCCTGAAACTGTTCTTAACCTGAAGCACCCCTTTAGCTAATGGGGCCTCCCGCTGCCGCTGCTGCACGATTTCTGTTCTCATCCTGAAGCAAAGTTCTTAACCCGAGGTAATATTTCTGGGTTAGCAGAGTCTGTAACCTGAAGCATCTGTAACCTGAAGTGTATGTAACCCGAGGTACCACTATATAAACGTTTATTGCGTAGGACATGGAGAGCAAGTGTAGTTTCCTCCATATGTTGTCAACTGCAACACGATCAATTGTCAGGGATGATGGGAGTTAATAACCCAACACAATGGCTACCCCTGGGTCTGGCATATGGCAATGCATGTTCAAAGCGACAACTTCTACTGCATTGAAAACTACCGTTTTATTTTAAGGTGTTTTGTAAACAAATAACCTAAACCTTATTTTGGAAACTCTGAGTTCTTCCACTGTGTGACAGCAGCATAACACAGAACTGATAGTATCAAGGCACAGTTCTGCAGAATCTCTTTGGGGAAATGGTTGTAGCTTAGAGTGACAGAGTTCATGCTTTTTATAAAGAATGTCCCAGATCAATACTTAGCATCTTCTGCTAAAGGATCGGGTGGAGGGCGCAGACCTGAATGGGACCTCAGAGAGCCACTGCCAGAGTAGACAGCCCAGGCATTAGCAATGGTATAAAGTAGCTACATCCTCATTTACAATAACCCTTACAACATATGCACATTTAACTTGTGTGCATTCAGCTTTACACACTTGATAATTTTTTTTAAAAAAATTACAGTGGCGAGGTTTCGTGAAAAATGATGTTGGCAATCCCACCTGCCATTGAACCCAACAGGTTTTGACTATGCACAATTTTGGCTTAAGGCACAATCCCTGGAATGTAACTCCCACGTAAATTGCGGGCTTATTGTATACTAATAGCAAACTCCATTATCCAAGTGTGGATCCTCATGTAGTCAAAATCCTACTAGCTACACACATGAGGGAAGTTTCAGGCAGGTTTGGGGGAACCTTCAAGGTTTCTAGGCATACTAAAAACTTTGATGGAAAAAGTACCCTAAGAGGGGGACTCCAAACCAAAGCAATGAGGGCTGAGCATGAGTGTGCCACGGAATGGTGGCTGACTGTTGAGAGAGGGATAACATAAAACCAGTGAGGGGCTAGCCTGTTTTTCTGGTTGGTTTGCACTCTACCCCACTGCTACACAAGAGCTCTGAGCAAAACTTGAGTTTTGAGGCTTACTGGGATGGATTCCAAAATGATAATCTAACAATAGTGATGAATTTAAGCAAACAGCTTCCTAATACACAGCTCTTTCTTTCAGGCCAAATCAGATGTGATGTAGAATATCTGTGAATGAGATCTCCCACATTATTTATTTTTTTAAGGACTGACAGCAACTGCATGGGGCCCCAATCGGGATTGGGAAATGGGGGGAAGTGTTAACTCTCCCCTCTCAATTAAAACCACCCCCTGAAGCTGCTATTTACTTGTGGGCAGAAATATAACAGGTACCCATTCTGCTGCCAGCCAGTGCTCTACACTGCCCTGCGAGTGTGATTGCGCAAAAGAATGTAATAAGCAATTGCGACCCACATTAGGATACCACAGACATTTGCATCCTCGATCACAGGCAAAACAAATAATGTGTGAGGATTAGTCTCTAGCCACAATGCCTTTTAGACAGCTTTTCTTTCTCACCCCTGCCTCAAGTCTTAACTTCTACTGTAAAGAGGAGGTGTAGTTCATTGCCGACTTAGAATGATAAGAGTTAGGAAAGACCCCGAGGATCCAACCCCCTGCAATGCTGGAATATGCAGCTGCCCAATTTGGGCATCGAACCTGCAACCTTGGCATTATCAGCACCAGGCTCTAAACAGCTGAGCCATCCAACTTGTATGAGAAGTAAGGATGTCTCTGGCCTTGAACTTTTCCCTATTTTCCATTTTTGGCACATAACGCCTAGTGCCAAACGCTCTTGAGTCTAAAAGCAAATGTTCCCACCCCCTTCTCCATGCAATCTGATAAAATAAAAACCTAGCAACGCACCCACCCCCTCCCCCCCCTTGTCCAAAACTCAACCGCGCACCTATACACAAAGGCGACGCGTAAAAAGTCTCTGCCTGGAGCGCTTTTGCGCGCGGGCAAAAAACCAGGCGCTTCCCGAGGTTTCCCAGCGCACAGGTCAGGCAGCAAAAAAAAAAAAAGGGGGGGGCTTTGCTGGGAGTTGCCGAGGAAGTATGGAATCGGGGCCCTCAGCTACATCTGCTTGTGGGGAAAGGAAGCCCAAGAGCTGGGCGCGCCAGACAGAGAAGGGAAGTGCAGAAAGAGAGAAGTAAGCGCAGCCTTCCGCTGTTTGCGTAATTGCGCGCAGCCAGCGCCCCTTCCTCACCCCGGGTCTCGCCCTCGGGGAAGCTCTCGGAGAAGAGCCGCTGACAGCGGACTGGTCTTCCTTACCGCCTCCGCAGCTGCTCGGGCCTCTTCTTGCCTGCGGCGCACTCAGAGGGCGGTCGCGGGTGAGTGGAGGCGGCAGAAAGGAAGGGAGAAGGCGCGACACCAAACTCACTCCGCCCGCTGCTGGCGGACACAAAGGCGACACCGGCCACGCCTCTGGAGGCTGGCGGCCCGGGCAGGAGAGACGCCCCGATGGCCAGAAAAGCCCTCGCGGAGTAACAGCCCACTTTCTCTTCTCCCTTTCTCTTGGTGCTGCTGGAGTCGAAGCGCACTTGGGCAGTTTAAAGGCCAGGTTACAAGTAGATGTAAGGGAAAGGAAGCGAGAAACAAGAGAGGAAAGACTGCCATTGATTCTTGAATTGGTCCTGGCCATGTTTTGGAAGGAGGGCATGAGAAGGGAGGTATTCCACATTTTTTGTGAAGGCAGAATCGCGCACTGCATCCAAACCATACTGCAACCTCACCAGCCCCGCCTTCCGTTTAAAAAAATGTTTGTGTTGGGTTTGACAGGCTGCTGGACACAGCTTGTTGAAAAGCCGTTTTTCTTTTTAAAGTAATGAGCCTAGGTTTTGTGAAATGCACTGCATGGTACTATTTTGACATCCACATTCTGAAAACATTGCGCAAGATGAGAAAGAGGAGCCGATGAAGGGCCTTTAGGTGTTAGCAGTCAAAAGTTATTTTGTTCCTACTGCAGCAGTTTCAGAATAAATGCACATAACCAGCTCAAAGACTTCTGAAAACACAGCCTGCTCAGCAGAAAAAGGCCTACATGAATTCTGGCCAACTGGTCACTAGAACAATTCATAGCCCTGATCTGAATAAAAGCTTATGTTAGAGTCTGCAGTTATAGCAGAAAGAGCCACTCTGAGCAATATGCTTATGGGGGATCCCCAGGATTTGCTTTTTTGCAGGGTGGAGGAATAAGTAAATACTCCAAATACATAACCAAATACGATTAGCATCAGATAACAGGTCTATCATTTCTGGTAGGTCTGGAGGCTAAGCAGTAGCCAGGCCTGATTGCCCCATCTAAAACAAATTTGAACACGGAGCAACACTGGACTACAGTTCAGGACTGTGTTGTGCACCTGTTTAGCTGGGGATAGTGGCGTAATAACACGAGTTGGATTGCAGCAATTACTTTACCAGGGAAGACCAAAAATGGCTATAAAATGAGTCAATAAGTTTCTTCTCTGGACAATGGGTGTGTCCTTCTCAACTTCTCTTTGTTCAAGTGATTAGTTGGCCAATTGCTTTCCTGACATTAGTCATTACCATGATTCCATTCATTGGATAAACACATTGACTTGGGGAAATAGGTTAGTTTGTTAGAAAATGAACGGGCATGATAGTTCTTGCATATTTTGCCAATTATTTTGGGTTCTACAATGGCAAGAGTTGCTTTCTAAAAAATATTTCATTAAGAAATCTGGGAATCCAGAGATGATAGCTAATCCAGGAGGGGCAACTGCCCGCCCCCCGTGCGTATTGTACATGCTGATAATTTAGCAAACAAAACAGCAGCCCAAATAATTTTCTTCAGGAAATAACTGCCAAACCATTTGCTTCAGTAGTCCATAAAAAAGCAGGACAGAAGTAATGCAGAATGACCTAAACTACTTGGTTTTTGAATGGTGGAGATTTAAGAACAACAGTCTCAGAGGCGGAAAATGTTATTTGAAATTGGCCTCTAGTTTATATGGCTGTAAGGTAAAGCTAAAGGGACCCCTGACCATTAGGTCCAGTCATGACTGACTCTGGGGTTGCGGCGCTCATCTCGCTTTACTGGCCGAGGGAACCGGCGTACAGCTTCCGTGTCATGTGGCCAGCATGACTAAGCCGCTTCTGGCGAACCAGAGCAGTGCACGGAAACGCCGTTTACCTTCCCGCTGGAGTGGTACCTATTTATCTACTTGCACTTTGACGTGCTTTTGAACTGCTAGGTGGGCAGGAGCTGGGACCGAGAAACGGGAGCTCACCCCATCACGGGGATTCAAACTGCCGACCTTCTAATCGGCAAGTCCTAGGCTCTGTGGTTTAACCCACAGTGCCACCCGCGCCCCTTGTATGGCTGTAATATACATCTATATAGCTTGTGTTGCATTGAAACCTCCTATTTTATCCAATGTAATATCCTATCTTTTCGGGTGCATTTTGTATCTGGCTGGTAGCTATTGAAAATAGTGTTGCAAAAGTTGGACTCCACCCTCAGCGTGTGGCAAGATTCCAGGCACTCACCAAGGTTCTGTGTTGCTGTGAGAATCAAGACATGGTGGGAACTGTCGCACCTTTAGAAATATGTTTTAATTACACATATTTATACCTTTAGTCTACATAGAGGGTGTCCAGATCTTACAGCATGGTCCGCTCAAGTGAGGCTTGTTCCCCACAGCAGTGCAACACTGGAGTCCAAGGCATCTCTCCCAACCTGCTGTCAGCCAAAATGGTTCTGCCCCTTTTCCAGCTATTCCAAGCCTCCTGTCAAAAGCCCCAAACTCTTCCTGTGACTCTACACCTAGTTATCCTGGCAACCGTCCAAATCTGCTGCCTCTGTTCACACCTTAAGCCAGTGGGGAAGGACAGTTCTCTTGCATTGCCAGTGGCCCTCAATGGCCCTGTGTTTTGCTTTAAATGGCCCTAGCCTGGCCAGGTCATTTTGCATAAGCTAGCCCAGGAATTCCTCTGCAGCTTCTATTATCCCTTCGCATCCAAAATAATCAAAATCCTAAAGGTAAAAGGTAAAGGTACCCCTGCCCGTACGGGCCAGTCTTGCCAGACTCTGGGGTTGTGCGCCCATCTCACTCAAGAGGCCAGGGGCCAGCGCTGTCTGGAGACACTTCCGGGTCATGTGGCCAGCGTGACATCGCTGCTCTGGCAAGCCAGAGCCGCACACGGAAACACCGTTTACCTTCCTGCTAGAAAGCGGTCCCTATTTATCTACTTGCACCCGGGGGTGCTTTCGAACTGCTAGGTTGGCAGGCGCTGGGACCGAGCAACGGGAGCGCACCCCGCCGCGGGGATTCGAACCGCTGACCTTTCGATCAGCAAGCCCTAGGCGCTGAGGCTTTTACCCACAGCGCCACCCGCGTCCCCTAAAATCCTACCATTTATTAATTCCTAGGGTATAGCCCCCACCCCCCAATTCAAAACAACAGAATGCTTGATAGTTCAAATGTAAGCCACTGTGTCAGGTCCAGAGAATCTGTGGCCCCGCAAATGTTGATGGACTACAAATGCCATCATCCCAGACCAGCTGGAACTGATGGGAGTTGACAGCCTCAACAGAACTGGAGGAAACCATGTTCTTCATCCCTGTGCTATATATTTGATTATGGTAATTAGTTTCCAGGAAATGCAGTATTTTACATGTACTGCTATGGGAAAGGCCACATTTTGCATCTGTTCCATAAACAAATCACAAGGCACAGCTTTTTAAAAAGTCAACACACACACATACCAATCGTCAGAGGTGAGTGGCACAAGTCTGTATTATTAAAAAAATACTCTGCCACAGCTTTGGTTAAAGAGTACTGTCTCTTCTTAGGGAGTCTGGAAACTTCCAATTGTCAGAGCGTCCCAATATTCACCTGTGAAAGACTGGAAGATCAGCCAGTTGCCACTTCTGTCACGATCAGGAAGTTTGGCTGTGCTTTTCCTAAGTTGTTCTTCCAGTTCACTGGAATGAGGGCAGAAGAACTTCCCAGTAAGATGCAACACAGATCATTGGCTTCTACCTTGCTGCCTCTAATAGTAGCCCAAAATCCCACCTTAGTTCACAGTAGGGCAGGTACTGATCAGCGTTAAAAGCCTAGAAGGTTTTTCACGTCCAGATCTAGAAATTACAATTCTTGTCGATAGCCATCTCTTCAGTTGTCGGGAGCTTTCAAGACAAATCTTTAACGGAAGTGATTCAGGCCTGGTGAAACTTGAGTATCATCAATTGCTGTCAAGTCACTGTGGCCCAGATACTACTTAAACTTTTGGGACACTGGAGATATAGACAGAAAATGGACGTGTTGCTCCTTGTGGAGGCAGATATTTAGAGTGAGCCCACTGTTCCCTTAAGTTGGAGTGTGGCAGCCACTATGAAACATTACATGCAAATCTATGTAGCTAAAATGTACAAATTAAACACAGACTTCCAGGTCAACATTTATTTTCCAAGTAACTCCTGCACAGAACAACATGCTCACATTTTGCTTTTATGAGATGTTGCCAGTGGATCAAATAGCAATTAAAAGGTGGCCGGCGAGGCTTTCAGGGCTGGTGCAAACACGTTGCGCAACTGATTGATGTATCTAGATTTATAATTAACTTTACCCTACATGGCTGCCACTGTGGCTTACAGTGAGGCAAAGCAAAACCAACATCTTGAGAAGTTTAAAAGCAAAAATGATTTTTTTAAAAAAGCAATTCAGGATCTGCCCTCGATTTCCTGTTTGCAAGAAAATAAACTCTAAGGGGCTCAACAGCCTTGACAGAAAAAGGGAATGTTTTTGGTGAGCCTACCTTGGGAGGAGGTTTCCCCAAAAGTCTTATTTGTAGTGCCAAACAGCCCTGTCTTTTCTGCCCCTGAGGTGGAAGCAGCAAATGTGGGAGGGCTCTCACTAAAGACCAAGGAGTAAAGCTTGCTCTTACTCCAGGGTAAGGGTAATATTTCACTAACCCGCCCTCCACATAGATATGAAAGTCCTAAGTGCACCTATTGGGGGACGCGGGTGGCGCTGTGGGTTAAACCACAGAGCCTAGGACTTGCCGATCACATGGTCGGCGGTTCGAATCCCCGCGGCGGGGTGCGCTCCCGTCGTTCGGTCCCAGCGCCTGCCCACCTAGCAGTTCGAAAGCACCCCCGGGTGCAAGTAGATAAATAGGGACTGCTTACCAGCGGGAAGGTAAACGGTGTTCCGTGTGCTGCGCTGGCTCGCCAGATGCAGCTTGTCATGCTGGCCATGTGACCCGGAAGTGTCTGCGGACAGCGCTGGCTCCCGGCCTATAGAGTGAGATGAGCGCACAACCCTAGAGTCTGGCAAGACTGGCCCGTACAGGCAGGGGTACCTTTAAGTGCACCTATTATAATAGCATTTAAACTTTTTGGGACTGCTGTGAGTTTAGCTGTCCTGATTTTATTTTCTCCTGCTGTTT